GCGGTTGACTGTGGCGTGCACCCGATACAATCTCTCACCGTGTCTTGTGCACTGGTTGACACAATCTCCCACCGTGACTCGTGCAATGGTTGCTTAATTAAAAAGGACGCAGTTTCCAAAGACACGCACCGTGACGTGTTAACAAATCCGTGAGTCGCTTACAGCAATCTCAGAATGTGACGTCGGTCCACAACACCACCAAAATCCTCTGATTGGGATGCTCTGCGCATACCAGTCTTCGTCAACAAGACGCCGGCGACCAATGAGCCATCGCCTGGCACGTCACGTGACGTGGCCAATGCACCACGCTAATTGCGATTGTTATTCCAGTTAGCAAACTACTTCATCCCCGCGTGCACCCCCCCCCCCCCCAACAACAACCCTTTCCACCTTGCGACCACAGTCATTGGCCGCCGCAGTGAAAACCCTCTTGCTGGATATCGCCACTTTCTGGTTTGTCTGGTGTCTTGTAAAAATTACCGCACAGATTTAAAAAAAATAATAATAATTAAAAAAATACGGCTCTGAATTTCCCGCGGCTTCTGTGACGCCGGTTCGCTTTCCCCACAAACCCCAGAATTAATCGTACTTCCACTTGTAATAAGGACGCCATGTTTGGACGCAGACTGGGAGAAGGGCGTGTGTCCCATTAGGACGAGGTGAGACGCATCAGACGTCCCATCGTATTACCTGGCCCACCTCAAATGCCTGACCTGCATAAATCCCCCACCCCACTTTTTTTCTCTAAAGCAGTGGTCCCCAAGCTTCCTCATGCCGCGGCCCTTTAATACAGTTCCTCTTGTTGTGGTTTCCCCATACAATAAAACAATTTTCGTTACTACTTCATAAATACGTGTTTTCCGATGGTCTTAGGCGACCCACCGGTTGAGAACCGCTGCTCTAAAGGGACGCACGTTTCAGGATTCAGACAGTGTCTGTGTTGGTTGTATGGGTCAACGGTCATGTGATACCGCCTTTGTGTGTGTGTGGGGGGAAAAAGGGGGGGGGGAGGAAACATGGGCCAGGCCTCTAATTGAGAATAAGAATCAAATCTAGACTTGAAAAACACAGTGACGTGCCTAGGTAGCTGTCAACAAACGGGTCGGTAGTTTTTCCCCTAACCCCTCACGAAAGTAAAAAGAAAACCCTCTCTGCAGTTAGCCGAAAATACTTCCCCTTAATATTTATTAAAATATTAGATATAGCTTGCCAAACATTTGCGACAGCAACCTGTGAACTTCACATCTGCCAATGTTACTTGCAAGGTTTCTTTCAGCTATATGGGGGGGGGGGGGGGGGGGGGGGGGTGGGGGGGGTATTTAACAAAACAGGAACTCGAGTCATGCACATTTAAGAATCACAATTTTTGCTATTTCTTTCCCCCCCCCCTCCCCAATGACATGTCACTGCACACGTTTTTTCAAGCCCATGAACTATATTAATAATCTGATGTCCCACCCTATTTTAACTCGAAAATTTTTTACACTATATTTAAATTGAGATAATTTCATTTTCCAAAAAAATAAATAAATAAAAAAATATTACGCACGAAACCCAGATGCGTTTTTAAAAAAAAATCCTATAGCGTAGTAAGCGGAATTATATTTTGAGCACTATTTAACCAAACTTTCTTTCAAACATTTAGAATGATTTATAATATAATATCAATATCAAATACGCTGAACAGGAAGCAGCCAGCTTGTTCGGAAGCAGCCGGAAATGAAAGCAGCCTACCAGAAGCGTAACAAATATAAGAGATATATTTGTGAGAGAGATAACCGAACAATCCGAACTTTTAAAACAAAAACAAAAAAACAATACCATCCCTCTTTACGCTCTTCTTGGTCACAACACCAGCGAGCCCAGTGGTCAGTTATCACACGCTCGTTGATGGAAGATGGCCGCTGGGTGTTGGGGATTTGGTATTTCATTAGGGTCTCATGGAATGCCCATCTCCCGGGGGCTTGTCTGAGACCGGCGTCATCTCGGAGAGAGGCAACACATTAGCGGGGACTTAATGAGACCGCATGATGAGGGAAGATTATAGTGTGACTTTTGCGCGGATCCTGATTAATGTCAGTGTATTATGTACAGGATTATCAGCGTGTTGGCTCGACTGTGTGTCACGTGACGAGTATAGGTGATTTGAAAATGGTTACAGCGCAATCACAAGTTTATCCTCTAAAGGTAATAAGTTACTCAGTACATCACCCAGAGAGTGCCTTAGTCCAATATTACGTCATCAAGAAGTGTGTAAGTGAAGCATTGCGTCATCAAAATGTGTGTCGTTTAGACAATACGTCGCGGTAAAGTGTGTTAGTATCACACGACGTCATCAAAAAGTGTTTTTGTTGACGCATGATCCCTGCACAAGATTTGAGAAACGATCGTTCAAAACATAAAACCTTAGTTATCCAAAAAAAAATAAATAATAATAAGGCCTTGACCTTTTCTCACCCTGACTATTGACAGGAATGACTTTTTGCCGCCCCCCTTCCCTCGTCCTTGTCCATCAGTTTATCCTAGAGACCAATCCACTTCGCCTTTCAAACACATTAACCGGAAGCGGATCTCTCACGACTAGCCGCCGCCATTTCGCCGCCGCCATTTCGTGTCTGGCCGGTTCGCTTTCGAACCGTTTTGTCGCCACATGACTATTTCAGCCGGTGCCATTTTGCCGACGGCCACTTCGCCGACGGCCATTTCGCCGACGTCATGTAAACGAACTGTCTACGTCAACATTAAAGTTTGTGGGCTTTTGTGTGTAAGTTCCACATAACTTATAACTGCCTACTTGGATCTATCGATATGAACAAATGCTTTAGTGGTTACATTTATATTTCAGCACCTTAAACGGATGTTCGATGAAAGACTCCCACTCTTCCACCCGAAAAAAATAAATAAAATAAAAGCCATCTTCTGACTAAAAACCAAGGACACGAGAATTCCAGGCAGATTCACCTTCTTTGAGCTTTTGGGCTCAAATTTGTAAGGTTACATTTTGTAGAAAGAAAAAATAAAGGAAAAAAAAAAAAAAAAGTTTAAAAAAAAAAAAAAAAAAAAAAAAAAAAATTTAAAAAAAAAAAAAAAAAAAAAAAAAAAAAAAAAAAAAAAAGAAAAAAACAAAAAAAAAAAAAAAAAAAAAAAAAAAAAAAAAATTAAAAAAAAAAAAAAAAAAAAAAATAAAAAATTTGTAAAAAAAAAAGTACTAAAAAAAAAAAAAAAAAACAGTTGTGGAGGCATTTTCGTTAATAAAAAAAGACAGGATCACAAAACCCCTGGCCGCCTAATCTTCGTAATCGACCAGCCACTTTATGTGCTGAACTGATCTCACGTGTGTTACACAGCTCTCGAAAAGACGGTGGGTCTGGCCAACAAGAAACCAGTACACATTCACAATTTTATTGATCAACATTCGATGTAAACAGCAGAAGATCATGACTGCAATCACAAATCCGATTGCAATAATTACGCACAGGCGTATCGGTTTTATGTGGCCCCTCTAGAGCAGGAGAGACCATGGTATATAGATCTATTTATATAATTTAAAAAAAAATGATTTTTGAGGAACATGAGTTTACAGCTGCGTCATAATGTTCTTATTATATATATATATATATATATATATATATATATA